TGATTAAACAACTACACTGTAGTATTATATCGCACCATGGAATACCTACCTGAGGTCAGACTGTGGGATGAGCACATGGCCCATGGACAACATACCCAAGCCACCCAATTCTTTGGGTGTATAGAACACTACTGGGGGAAAACGACTGGGCATCTTAGAGTTTAGACCAATCTTGATACGGGTTTGAATCTGGAACAAAGGATGCAATTTAAATTTTGCGAACATTTAGATCAACTGAAGTACATTATTCACTTAAACCTCTCTTTGTCTTAGATCCTAGATCAGCTGGATAGTCTTACAGCGCTAGAAAACACGATAAACTAGAGGATTCAAGAGTTTAATTCTTACYTTGTTTTCGCACTTGACCAGTAAGTCTAGCAGTTCCTGGGTATTGACGACAGCTTCTCTGAAGTACGTCATCAATCCAATCAGCGCTGTGTTCCACTTGTTGACGATCTTGGTGAATGTAGTTGATCCTGAAGCCATGAGGATCTGACGGACACGATTATGGAAACGTCCTAGCGACTCGTTATCCACACGTAAGAAACACTGGGCTGTTCGCTCCTTGGTGACCTGATAAATAGATGGAAATTTGTTAATGTTTGAAATAGACCTCTCGCACTTCCAGTCTTCCTTCCCTCCCTTCTTCCCGTTCCTCTATTTTCTTTCCTCTTTCCTCTCCTCTTTTTCATCCAGGTGAATAAAATTTATCTTGAGAAAAAAGAGGAAATAGCTGTGATTACAGTTGAGCCCTCAAAGAAAWATTCTTTTGCTTTAAGAATCATACAAGCGAGGCTATTGAGTCAATGCAATGCTTTTTGTCTAATTTGCATCTCATTTGCATGCATCCATAATAACTGCTATTAGTACATGGGGATTTYATAACACATATGATCAAAACTGTGCTCAAAGTAAAACTTCCAAAGGCAGACATAAAAGAAGAAGGCTTTCACCATCAATGTTGCTATCTTTAGTGTTCTTGTAAGAGCATGGTCCAAAATACATTTTTTATACTCACCTCGTTTTGTAAGTTCCATACACCATCCTTGTGTGTGAACTCCTCAAAGGTTGTACGACACTTGGGCAGAATACGACACTCAAATCCACTCATATTGAAAAGCAGGTTAGGGTTATCCTTACTATACACAGACACAAAGCTGTTCTCCCATAGCAAGGTACTGACAGACCGAGGCAGACGATTCTTGATGTCCCAGAACACGGCACGACCAAGGTTGACATCATGCTTCATGAGGCGCATTCGTGCATCWCGTGGCCAGCATTTCTTGTTGTTGTAGCCCACGATGTTCTCGTTGTTGGGGTCGGGATGTTCTGTGAGGTAGCGCTGGATCAAATCACGAGCCTCTTCTGCGGTGAACCTTTACAAAACAATGTGAACTTATTACAAACCTATACATCTGTTATATATCAAGCTAAATGAATAAAAGTCGAGAGAATTGTTGGATTTCAATCAGCCAAAAAAAGTTCCCATCARTGAATGAGAGCTTTTTTGAATGTCACAAAAAGCCTATGTTAGATATTATCTCATGTTATACAAACTAAAAGAGAATTTTCTCAAAATGAACTCACCTGAAGAACACATGTATCCTGTCAATGTAACGAGAGTACAGCCTGATTGGATGCCGGGATTCAGTATCTACATCTTGGAATGTCAAGAAATCATTWGGCATCTGTGGTGGACCAGCCATCTCACTAGCTCGCTGTAGACCCAGCACAAGTAAATCCAGYACAAGACCATAATACTGGACAATGAATGAGGCAAACTGAAGACCACGGATGATTCCATAGGAATTAGTATGGTTCATATCCTGTGAGAGAGAATTAAATGGTTACTTCTGGAAAACAAAAAAAAAAGTAAATCGTGAGCTGTCAAGACATCAACCTTTTCTGTTACAGCGACCATGGTGCATTGTGGTCTAGCTTGGGTACAAACATCTTTTGTTAATAACCAAGGGTTAGTAGAGCACATGCATGTTATGTCATAACATTATCTTGGTTGACAATAACAATGCATTCCTCATTAGCTTCTCTTGTTAGATCAACCAAGATGGAGACTTTTTTGTTATTCATATCTCAAGGGATTTTGAGTCACATGGTTGTACTCACGGAAGGGACTGGATAGGAACGGACTATCTAGGGCTGTTTAAGGAGTTATACTGTTTTGCTGTGCATACTGTACCTTGTAATTGATGACCACGTTGTTCTTAGCCGTCATGTAATCAGCAATATTATGATCGACAATCAGACGTAACAGTCTGTTGAGCAACGTCAAGTCAATCTTCTCATAGAGCTTCTCAAACTTGGATTCCATCATCACGTTACATTCTCCTTCTGATGTTTCCCACACGTCTTGCAAGTTGTTGATACCTGGCAGGAAAGATCAATTCTTGTTAGGTAATCCTTGAATCTCACAAATAGACCAATCGGGTACATGTAGTCTTACATTTGCTTCTAACATCTCTAGAAATCTAAAGTCTAATAAACTGTGTTTATTTTTGTATCTTGGGGGAAAACTAACCTTGACACCATTTATAGACTAGTAACGGAGGTGGTTCTGTGTCTGATGGTTTGATCCAAGGGGGGAATAACCTGCGCTTGTCTGCCTCATACCAAAGATATTGATCCAGGTAGGCATCTGTWATCTTCTCTAGTGGTTCCACATCATAGACAGGTATGAGATGGCTGTAAAGATCCATGAACTCAATGCCAACCTGTTGGATAAAAATCAAATAATTATTCATCCAACCGCTGTTCACCTCAAAACTTGCAACTTGGTTTAGATAGCTTTGAAAATTCTGAACAAATTTTTAACCAAACTTTCAAATACATTAGGGCTCAAAATAGTGGCCTGCCAATGGCCAAAKTTCAGCTTTTGCAGGCAAAAATAACGATGCACTGCCACTGAATGAACAATAAAATGACATGCAAAATTTACTGGAATGACTATGGCAGGCTAAAAAAAWTTTCTATTTCAAGCCCTGGACATATAATTTTGTTAACAGTTAATTTAACCCTGATAATGGCCAAGAGAGCTGAAAACTTGGTTGTATCAAAAAAACATGATTTAATGCAGATGAAGCATTGAAGTTCTTCCATCAACGGTGTTCTAGTTGTTATTTGATTCAGACAATCTACCTCTTTAAAAGCTCTCTGTGTTAGGAGATGACGCTTGATTCTGCTGAGTGCCTCGTGAGGGTTATCATAGGCCTGTTCAATCARACCAAGTTCTTCTCGTTGAGACTGGTTCAGTCGACTCTTCACACTAAAATACAACAATCAGAATTCACATTATTACTCAATTCAGTTTGATTGGACATCAGTGATATTAAGCCACCAGCCTTCCATCATTCTACCATTAATCCTATTCTCATAATCTCTGGGGTTCTGATTTCCATCAATATCAAATATTCACACCTTTTGAAACTTTGATCGACTGAAATTTTGATTGACAGAAACCAAAAACCTAGACGTGCGGACACACTAACCAGGGACCACTTGAATAAAACTGATCAATCAGATAACAGTAAAATAGAAAGTGATTGAACTGATAACAGTGTTAGCCAATCGGATTATCACGTTCCCACGCTCTTATAATATCGATGTGCTATCTGATTGGCTGGTTAAAAATATTGAACTAAATGTGGCAATGTGATTGGTTAATGATACTAGTTTATCAAAGTGGTCCTGGTTGGAGTATGAGCACAGTAATATTCTTCAACAGACCTGTATGCCTCCTTGAGTCTCTCCAGGGCCAGAATGAGAAGCTTGGTGTCATGTTTGTAGGAGAGTGGAGGGAAGGGGATGGGAGAGAATCTCCTACTCTCCAACCAATGGACTGTGGTGGTGTAGATGGCTACAGCCTCTTCTGCTGAGATGTATGGACCATCCTATGGAAATAAAAACATGTAAATATTATTATATGACATTGTACAATATCTCAATATACTTACAGATGTAAAGATGGGATCCAATATAAACTAGAGTAACATACAATCTAACTTTTTTGTATTATTGGTACGAATTTAATATTTTTCCAGGTCATATTGTCCACACTCTACGAGGTAAAMTTTGCTGTTGTCTTTTACCTTCAAGTAGTTGTGCTGTCTCTCTTGTTCAGCCTTCAGGTACAACCTGGTCAGTCTACCCAGATTCTTCTTACACACRGTCTTGTCTACTGTTGCTCCACGGCGAATACGCTCCCTGTTGTAGTGAGCTGTGTTGGTCCACCAATCTGCTTTGGCCTTGACGTAACGCAGGATCATGTTCTCAATTGGAATGGGCAGGCCTGGCACCTTAAAAGGAAAGTTAACATAAAAATGAACACTTTCTTCTTCTGATAAACAGAAGAACGTTTGTATCTGATGAACTTTTTCTATTGCAAAATAGGACAATGATGTCAGAGCCAGGCTTCAATCTACATATAAGAAATCAAGTGCGCCATAGTTGCAGTGCACTCCCATCTCACCCCTGGGGTCTCCAGTTTGATTCCTGGATTCACTATCCCATGTGAGTAGAGTTTTTAGGTTTTTCCTTTGATTCAAGGGTTTTTTCTGGGTTCTCTGGTTTTCCTTCCTCCACAAAACATGCTAAATTCCAATTTGATCTGTGGGTTAGTCATATGCCCTGACTCTGATCAGCCCAGAGGTTGTTTCAGGGCTTGATGTGTGAGTTAGCCATGCCCTGACTTTGATCAGCCGATATATTGTCTCAGGGTATTGATAAAATCTAAATTTACCTTCCATGGAATATTGGCCTTCCAGCATCTCCAGGCCTCGCTAAGATGCTGTAAGATAGTCCTAGCCTTGTTCTGCTTGATCCCTTCAGGCATCATGTCCAGGATATCGTGCATTACAGCTGCACGCAACTCCAAATCAAAGTGACTTTCCACACGCTGCTTAGTGACTGTCTTGGCCACTCCCTTGGAGTGTCTGCCTTCAAACTGCCTGGCCAACAGGTTGCCAAGCCATCTTTCCAGGAGTGGTACAATACCACGGAGAAAGAACAGCCACACACGCCAGCCTGGGGCCCAAAAGCCACACCCTGGACCCTTGCCAACAGCTCCCTAGATCATTGAAAACAATCAATTATACATATTTTTATAATTATGCAATTCAGTCAACTAACTATATTTCCAGATGTCTGGGCTTTTGGCTCCCATCAATCAAATTACTAACAGTCTGAGTAGGTAGTTTTTGATTGACAGCACCTAAAAATCAAAACTGCTGTGTTGCTCAAGAAGTATTGACAACAGAGAAAAATTCCCAAAATGACTATTGTAATGTGGTGACTAATAAATAGCTAACAAACCCATAGGTCCTAATTACAGTGCAGACTGACTGTTACTTACAGTGTTGAATCGGTAATAGATGAGATGCTTCAGATCCTTGCACATTCTGATCTGTCTCATCAGTTTGTACTTGTAACGGTACATGCCTGTTAGCTGACCCACATGGGAAAACATGTACTGCAGACCATCAGCAAGCTGAAAGAAATGGAATCATTAGGATGACAATATCTCACTCTGTGATCATTAAAATAGGTAGAAATTCTATTCASACTACAGAATGTTATCTCCCTACCTGATAGCAATCCACATTACCAAGTCTGTACTGCACATGAGAGTCTACAATCAGCTTAGTGAGCCTGAGAATCTCACGGCACAGATGGAAAGCATTACCAAACCTAGACTTCTTAYGTTCCTTGGTAGTCAAGGTCTTGATGGGCTTCAAGTTGAAGTTGTAATCCAGATGAAGGTAGTTGAGGTTCTTACGGTGGATTAAGAGGTTCAACATGTTGTAACCTTGACGACAGACCTGTAGGCCAGCTTCCACCCAGTCTAAAGTCGTGGACTGGAAAAATTTTGTGGCTTTGAATGAACGGAACAAATACCTACAAAAATCATGAAAGAATGTAAGTGATAAAAACATATTCAACCTCAAAGGAATAGAGGCCACACCTAATTGAAAAAATGTAGTCGGGTTTCAAATAGGTGTAGACTGTACCTTTTCTTCTGTGCCTTTGGTGGTCTGTGCTTCAATGCGTTTAGGACGTAACATTTCAAAAGCTTCTGGTAAGACACTCTCACTTTGACTGGATGTCCTGATGGGCAATGTTCTCTGTACCTAGATAAAAAAAAT